ATGAGAAATGACAAGTGGCTCTTGTATGGCACCACTAAAATTTGGGGTAGTTTGTTATACAGCAAGAGCTAACTGATTCAAATATGTCCTGGCAAGATATGAAAGACAAAACAGTAATTGTTTACTTTACGTGACTATAAATATGTATTTTTATGTTTAACCATCTGGCATGTTGAAATAAGAACTGTTCAAATCTACCTCTCAGTGGATATATGTTTTCTGAGTACAAAAAACTAATTTACATACAAATTCATTTACTGATATGTATCTTGCTTTAATGCTTTCATTTTTTATGCAATGGCTTAAATTATGACACCAAAATGGCATGTCATCTTTCTTAATTAAACATCTAAGGTTAAAAATGCCACAAAGAATCAAAAAGCCATTTACGCCAAAGATGTCTTCCACTAGCAATGTTTTTCTGGACTTGGCCACATAAGCAGAGATGGTGGTTCCCTGGGTGATGGGCCCCACAGGGATGAGTCGAGGTTTTCCTTCCTTTATTCCAGGTGGTGTGAACACACATAGGCTCTTGGAAAAAGAAAAAAACATGTTTTATCGACTCTCTTGTACATTTGCACATACAAAAAGACACCTGGATATTACTTAATAGTCAAAATAAATCTGTGAGCCAATTAAAAGAAGAAACACAAAATGAGGAAAGGTGCTTTGTAACGATCAAACTGGAGAATCTGAGGTGAAACTCTTGTATTTCCAATGCACACAAAATATAGGTTTGAAATAAGTCTTAAATGAATGTATAGGCACAGAAAAACTCTTACAATAGTCTCTTATTTTGATACACAAAAAAATAATAAAAGGAGAAAAAGAAATATATCCTGTCATTGGGCTCAAGATTCTATCGGACCATAAACAAACCCTGGGCCCAATCTCCCTACAGACTGAGGAGAGGACCAGTAGCTACAAGTCAAGTGATTTGGTTACATTTTTCATTTTCATTAAAAATATTTTTCTCAGAACATTATTTCCCCTTTTCAGCCTCAGTCACTCACACTGCTTAAAATTGCATGCCCATAAATTTGCAGATTCAGAAAACTCTCTATGAAATGTCTGCTCTTCTCTACATAAGAATCTTGACAAGTATGGGTGATCTTTCCCTTTCAAATGACTGAGGAGGAGAGCAAAGATCCGAAACTATTTTAAAATAAGTCTGCTTTCACAAATAGGATATAAGTCTGCTTTCACAAATAGGACGTTATTTTGACAAAAATCTAATTTTTAAAATTATTTTCCACTAAATGATAATTGCTACTCAAAACAAATCATCTAGAGATTGGGTGCGATATTTTTAACATAATTGTTTCCTGATTATCCCATTTGAAAAATATTAAGGTTCAGGAAACTTCTCTCAGAGTTCACTTTACTTTTTATCTTAAATTGCATTACTGTAACTTAAAGACTGAAGCAATAAGAATTAAATAACTCTCTTAACCTAAATATGTTCCTGTTAATACTTGCTATTACTAAGGGTGATACAGTAAGTTAGATGTTTGCATTAGTTAGACGTTTCTATAGATGTTCTTATCAGACAAGTGGTTTTCAAGCTTTGTAATATCAGAGAACTCTTCTTCAAACAACATCTTACAATCATAAGAGAATGAACCCTGTAACTTGAGCTCCTTGGCTAAATAAGGAAGCAGAGCTTCAGCTTAACCTTGGCTACTTTAAATAAATCATCATTGTAAATTATCAGAAGCTAAGTTCAAAATACTTATATTCCCAACTATATTTACATAGTTAGGAATGTGCTTAAGCAGTATTTTCTACTAAGTACAATGCATGTGAAAAATATATTTTAAGTGCTTCTTTTAAAAAGGATTAAGCTTAATATGTTTAAATACAAGGTATACACTTAAGATTAAACAAATTACATATAAGATGATAAATGTCAGTTACATGTTATTTATTTTTCAAAAGGCTAGACATCAGTGTCACTGTTTTTAGAGTTACTATAATTCTATTATACACCAATATACATACAGCAAAAAAGAAGTAAACCATCATGAGATTTAGTATCTACTGTTTTCCAAATACAATTCAGTGTCACCCTTTTTTAAGATCGCTAGAAGAGTAGAAAAATGATTCAAGAACAGGAAGAAGAGATGACTACAAGAAAATATCTAAAGGATATGATATATTTAGCCTAAAGAAAAATCAGAATTAACAATGATTTTCTCAAACTATGAGAAAGTAATCGTAAGAAGGATGTTGAGCAACTGTTTCTTTTCTCTACTGAAGACAGAATTGCAGGAAGTGAACTTAAATTGAACTGAGCACTTCAGATAACTCTTACAGAACAGCATCCCGTGACAATAACAGAAGTAAACTCTGCAGCAAGCTTCCAACAGTAACTTTGAAATTTTTGTTTTTGTCATAGTTGTCAGCATTATTTGTGTGTTGTTCGAAGACATACAATGTACATCTTTTCTGAATGATTTAGCCATAGGAACTTTATGGCTGAACTTAATAAAATCTTCAAGTTACACTTAGTTTCAATAATTCAATAATCATAGAATATCTTATACAACCCTATATTATTGCACGATCATTTGTTTAACATTATAAAATATTTATTGCCTCTATACACTGAATCCTCAAGTATACATGGGTTTCTTTCTGAACTCTGAACTCTGTATCATTGCGTTTATTTGTGTACCATGCTCTTTTAATTACTGTAATTTTATAGTACAATTTATGATTTGGCAGTGCAAGTCTTGCCTTGATTCTCAATGTTTCAAAGTACTCATAATTTATAAGACACATAACTCTGTAGCTTTCATTAGTGAAGAGTCTACATTAATGCATTAATAAATCATTAATAAATGGTGGGTGCAATATAAGGTTCTAAAGAAATTTACAAAGGAAAGGGAGCTTTATTTCTCAAAATCAATTAATATAATTTTTGATCTAAGGATTTGACTGGGATACTCAGATTAATAAGAACAAAAATATTAAACTCACTATTTTCATAGAAGGAGGAATAAAAACATCAACAGACAATATTTTAGAAGGTATTAAGACTACTATGCATGTGTTTAAATACTGAATTTATCTATAAGATTCAGTGTTGAACTGAATCTCTAAAATTAATTTCCACTCTAATATTGTATAAATCTATGAAAACTTTTGTTTAAACAAACATTTTATATGGGCTAGAGATAAAAACTATAACTAAAAACAAGGAAAAGATTCAAAGTTCCAAACCTCAACCACTTCTATCTTTTCCAGAGAAGAAATTAACTGCCTTCTGGATATCACATTGACAAATGGCTGCTGTGATTCTTCTTTCAAATTGAGAGCTTGAGAGGTGACATGACAACTAGTCCCTCCACATACCAACTAGCAGAGATGAGATTGCCCACAGAGCTGGAAATCAATGCAGTCAGAAGCCAGGACGTGCTAGGGGAGGAATTAGCTTTTTCAATTTTTCAAAGAAACTCATTATGTATGAAAGCCAATATTTTTGTGATAACAGCAAATTTTTATCTATATTTCTAAAGTTAGATAATTTAAACTAGAAAGATTGGTAGCAGCGGTCATAACCAATAGCTTGAATCAATAAAGAAATAAAAAAGCATTCAAATTATAAAAAAGCAAATTTGGAGAAATAAATAGATTTGATAGAAAATGAACAGAATAGACTACTACAATTTATAAAAACACTTTTTTAATGAAATGAAAAAATCTGATTCATCCATATAAATAAGTATACTTCACTTGTTAAACACTTTCTCTAATCTTTTTTTCCATACACAATTCAAAGATCACTTTATTCATGAAACTTTGTTTTAATGTTAAGACTTCCGCTCACAACCAGTTAAATTTTAGAAATTAAAAATTATTTAGGCTTACTGTTAAGTTATTTTCCTTATGAGACACTAGATGGCACTGAATAGAAAACAAACTTAGATCTATGTAGATGGGCATGACAGCAACTAGCTCCTACATTCGCCTGAAAATGAAATATGGATAACTAATTTTGTTTGCATTATTTTTAAAATAAACTTGCTAGAGTCCATTGTACCATTGAAAAATATCATACAAGTACTACAAACCACCAGTTCTAAATACAAAGAATGTAATATTTTCAGGCAACTGTTTAAGGTATATATACTAAAGATAAAACTTGGATTCTTCTGCTTTTCCATTTTTTCCCAATTTGTACCCAAAGTAACAAAATTGTTTAAAATGTGTTCTTCCAAGCGTATGGGTAATGAAAACTAAGTAATATGAAGGGGGAAAAAAAATCTATGTCCTTAAAAGAGGCAGTGTATTAGGGCAGAAAGAGCAGAGCTGCTCTTTATGAAAAGCACAAAAACTTTGGAATGGGAGCTTATGGAATAAGATTCAAGTAAAGGCTTTGGTTTTTGACAGGCTGTATGAATTCGGACAGTCACTTAACCATACTAGACCTTGGTTACCTCATCATTAAAATGAAAAGATTAGATTAGATAATCTTGAAGTATCTCTTTCAGCTTTAACATTCTATAAATCAAGTGGTTCTATAACCATCCAGCTGCTCATGTTCACAGGTAAAATAAAAATAACAAACAACTGTTTAACTAAGCTTTCTTACCAAACCTATAAATTATGGAGAGGTTACTTTATGAAAAGTTATCAATGAACTTTTGAAATAAAAATTTTAGGGCCGAGCCTGTGGCGCACTCGGGAGAGTGCAGCGCTGGGAGTGCAGCAGCGCTCCCGCCGCGGGTTCGGATCCTATATAGGGATGACCAGTGCACTCACAGCGCTCACTGGCTGAGCGCAGTGCAGCCGGTCTCAAAAAGGACTAAATAAATAAATAAATAAAAATTTTAAAGTGTAATTAGAGTTCATAAGGTTTTCAGCTTGCACAAACAACTATTATGGATAACTCAAGTAAAACCATAATAATAAAGTATAACATATAACAGTTTAAATATGTGACTAAGTTTAAATGAATAAAAATGGGTTGAACTAATGAATGAATGTATTTTTGTTCTCTTATTTATCAGTGCTTCAAGAATACAAATTGAAATGTTTAACACTATAAGGATGTGAATCTTCCATCACAAACAACTTTGTTCAGACGGTTAGCAAAACTGCAACTCATTTTCATAAACATTATTCTCTAAATATTCCATTAGGTATATTTGACTTTTTTCTTGTCTATGGAATTACTTGGCATACTATTTATGTTTAAATTCCAAGGTTTAATTTTGTTTGTTTTTAGCCATTATGGGAATCCTAAAAAGAATTCTTAAATAGAGTTAAATGCATCAAAGTTAGGGTCTTTCTCAGAAAAGAAACCCCAAGTTGCTAAATCCTAAAATAATATGCTGAGTTTAATATATATGTGCTATATATATAATATATATATATCTTTTTATATATATATAAAAAATTTGGATAAACCTAAGTATTACTAACTTTCTTTGTTTTTTTGATCTGACAGTAACTAAAAATACTATTGTATTTCTGTTTATTTTCCTTAGTATGATTGTTTTGCTTTATAAATTTCAATACATCAA